GACAGTGTTTCTCTGTAGACCAGGCTGGCCTTGAACTCAAAAAGTTCACCTGCCTTTGCCTCCCAAGTGTTGGGATTAAAGGTGTGCACCACCACTGCCCGGCTTCACTTAAATTTTAAAGCATAAAATCAACAAAGGTAGTGAATGAAGCATGGTGGTACATACCTGTAATTCCAGTTCTCAGGAGCACCCTCCAGACAGGGGGATTGTGAGTTTGAGGATAGTAGAACAGCATAGAATATAGAAAAAAAAAACCAAACAAACAAAACTAAAACAATGACCTACATACTAGTTCTGTGAAGCCCATATGTTGAAAAAAACGAAAGAAAAAAAAAAAGAACAGAAAAAGAAAGGCTTCTTTTATGCCAGTGAACACACAAAAAGATATTCCAGGTCAATAAAGCCATGAGCATGATCATAATACAGCCAGAAAGCATCCATGGTTGGGGAGGCTGTGGAGAAATTGGAACCTCATGTTACAGTTAGAAAAGTAAAATAGAACGGCCACTTTGGAAATAGTCTGGCACAGAATTAGCATGTGATCTGACAAATGGACCCCTAGGTATTTCAAAAGAAATGGAATGTACACCCATTCAAAACTGTACACCAGTGTTCACAGCAGCATCGTTTTTTAGTAGCCCAAAGTGGAAAGAATAGAATGTTCACCAGCTGATGAGTGGATAAGTACGCATAGTAATAACCATAGCATGGGATTTTTTTTTTTTTTTTTTTTTTTTGGCAGTAAGAAGAGTTAAAAGTGTTGACTTACACTGTGACAAGCGAATAAGTATTGAAAATATCATTCTAGTAAAAGAAGCCAGTTTCTAAAACCTCTGTTGTATATATGATTAAGTGTAGAGTACTCAGAATAGGAAATCCAGGGAGACAGAAAGTAGGTTACCAGTTGCATTATAGTAGTCTGGGGGAAGGATTGGCTGTCACTGAGTTTCAGTTGCTTTTCTCTTTCTTTTTTTCTTTTTTCTCTTTTTTCTTTCTAGGAAGGATAGGTAGTTTGGTGTTATTATACAACACTGTAAATTGTATTTTCAAATAGATGAATGTCATGACATATTAATTGTACCTCATTAAATCATTTTAAGAAAAAATGTTTTTAGTGACAGCCAAGAAATAAAGGATTAATGTACGGGTGGACGTTTCATATCCTAGAACATTGGCCAATGTGAATTGAAGTATAAACTCAGTAATAGAAAGAAAGAATTGTTCTTTGATGTTTGTTTGTTTGTTGGGTGGTTCCCCCCTTATTTTGAACAGGGTCTTGTGTAATCCAGAATGCCTCCAAACTCCCAATGAGGCTGACCTCCAGCTGCAAGTGATGGGATCGCAGGCCTGCACCTAACATTCAGCTCTATTCAAATTTGCCTTCCGTGACAGCTGCTGGCTCTCAGGCTTGCAGTGTTCTATGCTGTCTTTGGTGTGTGCTGCCTCGGTAGGCTGACTCTTTTTTTTTTTTTTTTTTTTTTGGCATGCCTTATCTGCACTAACTACCTGGTGGCTTTTGAATTCAACAATATAAATATATTTCACTGCCAGAAGCGGGTGGATATCTATGAGTTCAAAGATAATCTGATCTACATAGCTAGTTCCAGGACAGCCAGAGCTACATAATCCAAAGACCCTCTCTCAACAAATATGATAGATGGATGGATGGATGGTTGGTTGGTTGGTTGGATGGATGGACGGACAGACGGACAGACAGACAGGATAAGTGGTTGTATTTCACTTGACCTGAGCTTCAGGGGCACCTATGGAAATACTGCCATGGAACCTTAACAGTTTACCAGTGGGCGGGACTTGAACAGTGGGAGTAAAAGAGCAACCCAGTATTCTGAATCTTTTTTTCTCTGAGTAGAAAATGTGGTCTTTGGGTAGGGATTTTATGACACATCCAGAGAGTCACCCTTCCCATAAACTGTCTCAAGCATACCTTTTCCCAGGAATTTCTAACTTCTCTGAACACTACAGTATCAGAATAGGAAGGGGGAGTTTGTAAGTTATCTAGTCCAACTTTTTTTTCAGAGACACATTGCAATGTCTGTAATTGTTATTACTACTGAGACAAACACCATGTGCTACTAAGCACAGCACCAAAATGGTAGTTGACAGTGGAATGGGAAATGCTTTCTCTGCTGATTACTAGTGACTTTTTTTTTTTTTTTTTTTTTTTTTTTTTTTTAAAGATATGCTGGCCTAGAACTCACTGTACTGCTTCAGACTGGTCCCACACTCCTACTAATGATCCTGATATATTAGATATAGCCTCTTAGGAAAACTTTAGTATTAGCAATTTAATGTACTTGTCTTGTTTCCTTTGGTTTATTTAGCAGTATATGGACAGAAACAAACAAATAATAGTCATATTTGTTAAGTTTCAAACCTGGGACAAATAGCTGATCGCCTACTTAATATATCAAGGTGGACTTGGCCTTAGGTTCTCCCATCATCCCTCAGTCCCTACCTGTTACAGGGGATAGCTGGCTTACCCTGACCTCTATACTGAACTATCCAGCCCACAGGCCAGGCTGCCCTTTCCCCAGAGTCTTCCCTGTATAATCCAGACACTCCGGTTACCCTTGTACCTTTTGCCTCCTGGCTACTGTACTTTATTCTTCCTCCCCTCTCTCCTCACATGGCTCAGGGTCATGACCACTGTGGACTCTTCTCCCAGATGTCCCTGCCTCTACCTATGTTCTCCCACATATCTATAATAAACTTTCTCCTACACCTTACCTAGGAAGAGTCATGCCCTTTCCTTCCTATTTCTTTTCTTCATTCAATATTGTATAGAAACTTTTAATTCCCCTTGATAGTTTACTTTCACTTATAAAAATTAGTATTCCTCTTCCAACCAATCTTTAGTTGGTTTTGTTACCAAATGGGAGTTTTTCTTGTAGTTATTTTATTATTGTGTGTGTATGGGTAGCTTTGCCTGCATCTATGTACCACTTGTGTGTTGGTGCCCAAGGAAGCCAGAAGAGGGCGCTGGATTTCCTGGAATAGGAGTTAAAGATAGTTGTGAGTCCTTGTGTGGGTGCTGGGTCTTCTGCAAGAGCAGCCACTGCACCTAACCATCTCTTCAGCCTTCCATGATCCATTTTAAAATAATTATGTATGCATTGTGACTAAGGACAATTTTTTTACTTTTCACCTTACTAAATAATTTGAGATGGTAAAGGTATAAAAGACTGCTTCTTGGCCTCTTAAAGCAGAGGCAAACCTCGTGTGGTGCACACCTCTAAACCCAGCATCCAGGAGACAGGCAGCTCTGAGAGTTTGAGGCCAGCCTGCAATACATAGGGAGTTCCAGGCCAGCTAGTACTACATAGTGAGGCCCTGTCTCAAAAAGAAAGAAAGGAACAAGAAAGAAAGGAAAGATCAGTGATTGTTAGCATTTCTCTCTTTTAAATACATATTTAAACCTCCCCCACCCCCTTATACATCCTGGGATTTTGGTTCTTTTGTTTTTGTGGGACGGGCTGTCTGTGTAGTATAGCCCAGGCTGTCCTGAAACTTGGTGTGTACCTAGCCTGGTACATGGTGATCCTCCAGCCTTAGCTTCAGTGCTGGGTTCAGGCGTGAGCCTCTGATGCTCTGCTGTTTTTATTTATATTCTCAGTGCCTCTGGCTGGGGGTATAGGTCAGCTTTAGGTCAAGCTCTTACCTAACGTGCAGAAAGCCATGAGTTCGACCCCAGTACAACAGCAAGAGGTCAGGAAACCCCACTCTGTCTCACTTAGTTTATTCCAGCACTTGCAAAAGAGAGGCCATATTTATATTCAAGTGGAGGTCCCCAGCTTTTGAGGTAGGAGTAGTGTCAGATAATTTCCAGACATGTTTTAAAATCACCAGTGTCATATATTGTCCAGTTTCTGTCTGCTTTGGTCTGGAGTTTCTGGTATTATTGTGTGCTCCAGCACAACAGACAGACTCTGTCATTACCAGGAATGGGGTTTCCCCCTTCATTTCCCCTCCGCAGCGCTCGACTCATTTGACATTTAGCATGGTTTATTTGGTTTGTCTCCACATTAAGCTAGAGGGGTTTGTCTTTTTTATAATGTCGTAAGCATAGAGTAGTAGTAATGGCACATACTTGAAGTTCCAGCACTCAGGAGGCATAAGCAGAAGATTCCTGCGTTCCTGGAGAGCCTAGAGTATGTAGTGAGTTTGAGACCAGCCTGAGCTATATATAGCAAGGCTTCAGAAAACAAAAATCAAGAAAAAAACAAATTTTTTTTTTTTTTTTTTTTTTTTTAAGATAGTCTTACTTTGTAGCCCTAGCTGGTTTGAAAGTTCCCAGTAGACCTCAAACTCAGAGATTTGACTGTATCTACCTTCAGGGTGCTGGGGTTAAAGGTGTGTGCCACCAAAAAAGATACATTAATGAAAAATGTAGATCCTTGTTCTTTTGCTATGGTTGCCTGGTAACTGAGTTCTGTCCATTTACTTCTCTTAAGGACAGGACTTAAAAATTTCAAGACCCCATCTCTTCATGAGTACACGTGTCAGCTGGCAGTCTAGTGACTACAAAACGAACCTGGGCATGACAGCACTGAGAGGCTGTAGGGCATTGGATACCTGTGCAGATGGCATCTAAATGCAGCCGTTTTAGACTTCATTTCCGGATATGCTCCTCTGTGTGTGCGTGAGGGAGGGGGAGAGAGAGTGATCTTTCAGGGGAGGAATATTTCAATTATGAAAATAATACTAAATCACCTCAGCGTGTTTACAGTGAAGTCCTGTCTGGTTCTCCAGTCTAATTGTTTTTAGATTGATTTGTTCTGAGATGGGGTCTTTTATATCTCGGGCTGGTCTGGTCTCAGTTCTTGGTGTAACAGGCTGGCCTTGAGCTTGCTGCTCCCCGTTTCTGCACTTCTCTGGGGTGAAGTGACATACCTGGTTTGGGTAGGCAAGCTTGCCACCAACGGACCACATCCCGAGCCCCTAAACTCTTGTTGATGCTCTGTCTCACTTTGCCTTTTTAGGAACTGCAGAGGTTTGAGAACTTTGTAAACTCCTGTCCTCCTTTTGATATTGTTATTGATGGCCTCAATGTTGCAAAAATGTTTCCTAAACGTCGTGAATCTCAAACTGTAAGTATGTTTATTTTGTCATTCTCTCTCTATAGAAATAGTTCTTGTAAACCACAAGCTGCCCTTCAGCTTGCTTTCTCCTGGCCTCTACTTTCTCCTGAGAGTCACTGCTTTCCTGTGGATCACATCTCTCTAATTTGAAAATTAATACAAGATATAATATCGAGATACTAGATATTCATTGCTTTGGGGGTTTCCACATATGATACATTCATAAATTAACCTATGCAGTTGTTTTCTCATGGGATACTCATTTGTTTTTGTCAGTTTGTAAATATACTAGTAGTTTCAAATAAGACTACCATGATTTTTCAGTCTTTTTTCCCCCTTTTTTCTTTTTGAGATAGTCTCTCTATGTAGATCAAAACTGGCCTGAACTCACAGACAGAGCCTTCTGCCTCTGCTTCCCAAGTGTTTCCCCTCTGTGCATGATTTTTCAAAGCAACAATGAGATTAGAAAATTGAAGCTCATTTTGTACAAAAAATCCCTACAAAACATCCAGAATGTTGGAATTTGAAGAGAGTTCCTGGATTTCAGGCTTGTGGCTGTCACCATTGGTGATTTGTACTATTCTGCAGATGAAATTTCTATTCTTTTTATTTGTCTGTTTGTTTGTGTGCTTTGGTTTTTGAGACAGGATTTGTCTGTATAACAGCCCTGGCTGTCCTGGAATTTGTTCTGTAGACCAGGCTGGCCTTGAACTCACAGAGATCTGTCTGTCTCTGCCTCCCAAGTGCTGAGATTAAAGGCCTGTACTATCACTGCCCAGCCAGTCTGAAGAGAATAGAATGGTTCCTATCTCCTAAAGGTGTTGTAAATATTTAATAATTCTGTATATGCAAGCACTTAGTGCACATACATAACAAGTGTAGCTATGATTGTAATTGCTATTCAAGTGAACTCCCAAATGGAACAATAATACTTATTTTTCCGTAGGCTTTTATCTGATAGTTAAAAATTTTTTCCTGTCATTCATGACAATGGAAAAGGCTAAATTTTTGGCTGAGCATGGTAATGCATACCTTTAATCCCAGTATTACAAAGGCAGAGACAGGTGGATCTCTGAATTTGAGGCCAGCCTGGTCTATGTAGAGAGACCCTGTCTCAAAAAAAAAAAAAAAGGGAAATACTAAGTTCTACCTTAACATTAAACTCAGGCTAGGCCCGATATCCAAATGGTAGTTGATTAAGAATTGAAGTTGGGCCCTTCCTCTCTTTCTTTCAACCCCTCTCTCTGTTTGTCTGTACCCTCTTTGCCTTTTCTTTCTTCCCTCCCACTGCTCCTGTCTCCTGGGAGGCCCGTTTCCCCCTTCCCTTCCCCCCTTTTTACCATCCTTTTCCCCTAATTAAAAAACAAAACAAACAAGAATTGACATCTGGGGCTGGAGATATGGCTCAGTGGTTAACACTGGCTGCTGTTCCAAAGGATTTGGGTTCAATTCCCAGCACCTACATGGCAGCTCACAACTATCTGTAACCCCAGTTCGAGGGGGACACAACACCCTCACACAGACATACATTCAGGCCAAACACCAATGCACATTAAAAGAATATAAGTCAGTACTATTAAAAGCACAAGATAAAAATAAAACAGGATTAAGAAACTGTTTTCCAGGCTGGGGCATAGCTCAGTGGAGAGAACTTGCTAGCATGCATAAGGCACTGATTTCTCAAGCAGATATAACTTAAGTTGGTATGATGGTATGTGCCTATCATCCCAAATTTCAGGAAGCAGAAGCAGGATGATCTAAGTTGGAGGCTAGCCTAGGTAGGCTACATAGTTCCAGACCACCCTGAGTTACTGAATGATACCCTATTATTAGGCATATTAGGATTTTTTTTTTTTTGACAATTTTTTTTTTTTTTCTTTTCTTTTACAGACAAGAGTCCCAAGTAGCCTGGGCTGGTCTTGAACTCACTAGGTAGCCAATGGTGACCTTGAACTTCTAACCATCCTGCCTCTATCTCCGTACTTTCCCATCACTGATTAATTATGGGTCTTGCATTCATTACGTGGGGAGTTTCACTGTGATCGCACAGCTTGGTCTTAGAGCTTACATCTTCAGGACAATAGGAGTTAAGGAACAAAGAAAAGGAGGTTGGGGGCTGGGAAGATGGCTCAGTGATGAAAAGCTTATGCTACTCTTGCAAGAGACCCAAGTTCTGTTTCTAACGCCCATATCAGGTGGCTCTCAACCACCTGCCATTGCAGCCCCAGAGGGTCTGACTACTGGCTCCTCGGACACCTACACTCAAGTGCATTACAGACACGTAATTTAAAACAGTATCAGGGCATAGTGCCACTCATCTTTAATCTTAGCATTCAGGAGGCTGAGGTGGATCTCTGTTAATTTAAGGCCAGCTAAGACTATATAGTGAAATCCTGTCTCAAAAAGAACAAGTTTAGTTGTGAATTTATTTCCTCCGTTTTCAGATGTATCTTGTATGTGTATTTTATGTTTGATTTATTGTTCGTATGTGTGCATGTACATGTCACCATGCTCATGTGGAGGTCAGAGAACTTGCCAGAATCCCCTTCATTCTTCCTCTGTGTAGATGTTAGAGTTGGAGCTCAGGTCATCAGGTTTGGCTCCGGGTGCCGCTAGGCACTGAGCTGCTTCAATGGGCCTCCTTTCCATAGTTTAACTTTCTAAGTTGGGTGTGGTAGTGCATGCCTCTAATCTTAGCCCTCAGAAGGCTGAGGCAGGAGGATTGTGAGTTGGATGCCAGGCTGGACCTTAAAGTGAATTCTAGGATAATCTGGCTACATAGTAAGACTCAGTCCAAAAGGGGTGATGGGAAGTGGAGATGGCTCGGTGGTTAAGAGCACTTGCTGCTTTTACAGAGGACCTGAGTTTGGTTCCCAGCACCCACAGGGCAGCTCACAACTATTTCTAACTCCGGTTCCAGAGAATCTGATGCCCGCTTGTGGCCCCCAGTGCAACAGGCACCATGCATGCAAATGAATACTCATACATGTTTTTAAAAGAAAGAGCCATAACAGAATAAAGATAAGTAGAAACTACATTATTTTCATGGATTTAGACTGAAGTGTGTATATATTTGGCACCACTATCCACCCAATTATGTGTCCCCCCAAATCAAGTATTCCAGGCTTTTAATTATTATCTTTCTCAGCCAGTGTCATGGTGCATACCTATAATTCTAAGACTTTGAAGGCTGAGGCAGAAGGATTATAAGTTTGAAGTTTCAGAGAATACAAGAACAAAGTAACAAAAATTACCTTTTCCCTAGCTTCATACTCAATTGGCTGACAGATTGTATTGATTACCATCCCAAACTTCTCCTCATGTTCTAATTGCTTCTTTCCATTACCAGTAACATTATATTTCATCGACACGGCTAAGCTGTCTTCTTGCTTCCTCTTCCCTGTCAGTAACTTCCCATGGTATGTGTAATAGTGTGTAAGTTCCTTGTGGATGATGGAACTGTTCATCGTGGGATATTTGCCTCTCTGCAGCCACCTCTGTGGCCCCTCCCCTTTCCTTCACTCAGTCATTGGGTCACTGGGACTCTTCTTGTTGTCACCCATTCGGAACCTGTTCCTGCCTGTTCTTTGTGCTTGCTCTTCCTTCACCCTGCATGCCCTCTCTCCTTCACATAGCTAGATCGTTATCAGCACCTCAGAAGGCCCCCTGAACCCTGCAAAGGGACCAGCTCTGCTTACCCACTCTGCACATCAACCCTGGTCACATCTGTGGTGGATAAAAGTGACCACATAGCTGACTGTGACAGCATACACCCGCAGTCTTAGCCGGCTGGAGATGGCTGTAGGAGGCTCACGAGTTTGAGGCTAGTCTAGGGTACAGGGAAGTCTGGACAACCTGCAAACTGATTCAGAACACTGAGCTCAGCCAATATACTGTGTGGTCCCAGAACTATCCAGAACCCAACCCAAAATGAGAAATTAAGTGGCTGTTTTAACCCCAGTTTTGGGTGGCTGGTTATATATCAATAGGTGCCTGTCATTTGCTTCTCGTTTGCTGTGGTAAAACATTAACAAAAAGGCACCTTGGGGAGGAGTGGGCTTGTTTCACTTCACAGGTTACAGTGTGTGACAGAGGAGAGTTGGGGCAGGAACTGAAGCACAGGAGGCACACTGCTTACTGGCTTGTCCCCTGTGGCTTGTCCCCTGTGGCTTGCCTAGCCTGTTTTCTTATACAAATTGAGACCACCTGTCCTGGGATGACAGGGCCCAAAGTGAGCTGGTCTCTCACTTCAATCATTAATCAAGAAAACTCCCCACAGACATTCCTGCAGGCAAGCTGATGGAGGCAATTCATCTCTTGAGCTCCTCCCTTCTTATGTGACTCTAGTCTGTGTCAAGTTGACAAAAATTAACCAACACAATAACTAATTTAGTTTCTGCAGTTACTTTCAGTTTTCGTAATTTATCAATCTCCTACATTAAAGTATAATGCCCAGAAATTAGACAGCTTGCTCGCTGTTCTTCACACTGAGAAAAGGGCCTTGAACACGAAGGCTCAGTACATTTCATAAATGATTGAAAGAACGGACAGTTGAGACTACAGTAACCCATCAGAGACAGCACCTGCTTTCAGCCAGAATGGTGAAAGACAGCTAAAGTTTTATTCTTAGTGTCCTCTTTCTCATGCCACCCAGTGATCTACCTTGTATGAAATTAAATGAGCTGGTTATTTCTGAAAGACATTTATTTATCTATTTGTTTACTTATATGCATCTTTTCTGTGCACTTCAGTGTATGTATGTACACCGTGCACATGCAGGTACCTGCAGAAAGCAGAAGAGGGAGTTGTGGGTGATTTAAAGCTGCTTGGTGTGGGTTCTGGGAACTGAATGCCTCTCTAGCCCCTCTTTTTTTTTTTCTTTTAATCTCCTTTTTATTTATCCTTTGTTTCTTTTACATCATGTATCTCCATCCCATTGATTTCCCTGTCCCTTCATATCTGCCCTTGGAACCTTGCAATCTCCCCCCAAAATAAAATTTTAGAAAAAA